ACCTGCAAGAGGGTCTTAAAAAGGTTTCTGGAGAAGATCGTAGATCTTGGGACATCCACACACCCCAACCGCTGTTTGCCAAGGCCCCTTGCCCACCAGTGCGGCGGATCGTCCCCAGTATCGCCTCGGCTCCGGTGGCCCGGGGTTTGGGGAACCAACTCTGCGGCCAACACCTTGCAAAATCGGCGCAAGACGGAGAGAAGGGCGCCGCGGGCTGCAAAACTGGACATGCAAAAGACGAGAGTGCCGGGCTTCTGTCGTGCGGGGAAAAGGGGGGGAGGGGAGGGGGAGGGGTTTGGTGCAACTGGCTTCTTTTGAGAGTCTCTGACGTGGCACCGGCGACAAGCCATGAGCTGTTGGAAGCGAAGCTCGGTCTGTTGGTGGTCCGGCAAAGGTGTTGTTTTTGTTCTTCTTCTTTTTTCTAAACATATATATATATATACACATAACTCAAACGTACCGTAGATACCAGCAAATGCTTTTGTTGTTGATTTTTTTTGTGGTGTGTGTGTGTGGGTATACTCTATATATGTACATATCCTGAAAAACCGCAGGCCGTGGAAAACCCCCTGTTGTAGTTTGCCTCTAAAATGTATCTTTTTGGAAACAGAACTCACGCGTGCTTCGCGGCGAGGGCATTGTTCGGACGGCTCTGACGCTTGCGCGCGAGCTTCGGTCCAAGGACCTCTAGATCTCACAGACATGGACGATCCACATCCATGGTTGCAGCTCCAAGAACACTCACATCCAGTTCCACATGAGTGACCCAAGTCAGGCAAATGTAGTCTTCACTCGGAAAGCTTTGCATTGTCCACGTTCTTCAGCTTCTGGATACAACGATGTCAAAAGGCGGCTTGGGCAAACTGATGCCTAGAAAATGCATGCGTCGAAGTTGTCGCCACACCGAAGCTTACGCTAAGAATAGCACCTCTTCTGCAAGCGAAATGCCCTTGGAAGGTGCGGAGTTCCTTGCAGCTGAGACCAAACACCCCCAAACCATCCCAAACCAGCCTTTCAAAAGGTTCCCCAACTTGCCAGAACCTCCAACCCAAAACCAAAAACCTCCCCGCCTTCCCTCCCCCCCCCAAAAAAAAAAAAACATTTATGTGACCAAACCCAGCTCCATTCTCAGCCCATTCTCAGCCCCTGGCGGCAGGTCAGCAGATCCAGCAGCGCCGCCTGAGATATCTCGCCCCTAGTGCCTAGGTCGATCTCCCAGCTTGAGACAATCCCACTGCGGGGTTGATTCCTTTCCCATTCTTTTCAACCATCGTTCTTTTCAAAAAACCGGCTGTTTCCCCAGCGTTTTTGATGGTTTCCTGAAAAGAAGGATCCCTAGAAAGAATGGAAAAGGTACCCAGTTGGGTGGATGGAACCAAAGACGAAAGCTTGCTCAACCCTGCCTCTTTAATTTAGAACCACATGTGCCTAGGGAACTGAGTCAGAAAACACGAGTCGGACTTCGATCTCCCAGTTTGAGACAATCCCGGCAATGCAAGTCACGAAACCCTGCAACAAAGCAATACCCGCATTGCTTTCTGTCGAGCGATCAGCACATACAACTTGTGCGTCTCCTACCCCCCATTTCCCCCCCCCCCCCCCACCTATTTTATTGCGCGGGGAAGCAACAGGAAGATGAAGTCAGAAAGACGACCCCAGCATCGAGGAAAAAAAAGAAAAAAAAAAAAAAAATAAAATCAAAAAAAAAAACAAAATTACAAAAAACAAAAACAAAAAAGACCAAGAAAAAAACGCGACCCCAGCATCGAGGCTCGGGAAGCCTAACGCAGCCCAACAATGCCCTAAATACTCGGAGGACCATCAGCCACGTCAGGATACTCGGAGGACCATCAGCCACGTCAGGAGATCCGGCTTCCCCTCTTTGCCGTGGTCACCTGGTCTTCCACATGAGACTTTACAAAGTCTGGTGGGATCCTCTTTGGAGACGCTGCAACGCTGGAGGGCCACCAGGCATGCGAATGTCTGCGTGGTGTAAAGGGAGACCGAAGACGACCCATTTGGGCGGTCCCCCCCCTGTTTTGCCATGTCAGCTTCTCTTCCTTGGATGAGCGCAAGCGAACTAACATGGGAGACCCTGCCAAAGCTGCTGCAAAATGGTTGATTTGCTTTTGCCGTCCCTTTAAAACAACCCCAAAAGAGGGTACCCTCAAGAACGACACCCCCAAACCCCAGTCTGTAAAAAGAAACACACAGGATGGTCCACAAAATTCAAGTCCCAACTTGCAAGAAATCAAACAGTTCTGCAGATCCGAGCCATTGGGCATGAAACGACTAGCAAGTCCGGGTCGCGGGACATATAGCCTAATGTCCTTGCATGGATCATAGACTACGTACTATGAGCACTTCCTTCTCCCCGCGACAAACCGCCCGAGCTTTTGTCACGTGTAGCTTGCTAATCGATCCCGCCGCTCCTGCCAAAACAGGAAGCAGGCGGTCAATTTCAGGCTCAACCCGCGCTGTGAAAGCCGCAGAGGTCGCG